TGATGCTGCTTGGCCTGCTGTGTTCATCCAGCTCTACACCTTGTTATCTCTATAAAAGTAGGAGGTCTTGTGGGAGAGTCTAGGACCAGAGGGCATAATCTTAAAGTAACAGGTCGCCAACTTAAGAAAGAGATGTATAGGAATTTTGTCTTTCAGAGAATAGTAAATTTGTGGAATCATTCAGCGCCAGAGGGCTGTAGAGATGGGTCATTAAGTATGACCAAGGCTGACACAGACAGACTTTTCAAACAGTAAAGGAATCAAGGGTTATGGGGAAATGGTAGGAATGTGGAATTGAGGATTGTCAGGTCAGCCGGCATTTCATTGAATGCCGAAACAGGCTTAATGGGCTGAACGGCCTACTTCTCCTATTGTAATAACCTTGCAGTCACAAAAGTGTCCGGGTGGGAATGCAGTCTACACAGTTAAATCAACATCAGGGATTTATAAGACCTACAAAAACAAGGCACATCGAACAAAAAAGTTGCATTTAAAAGATATGTTACATTTGGCACCAGCCATGGTTGCAACAGTTTTCAAACTCATTTTGATAACACATTGAGCATGTACTCCACATGGGTTTAAACACAAATGTAGCAAGAGTACATTATCTCACTGCTTCTCTCTGGAGTGAGGCAAGACTAAATGTGCACAAAGCCCTGTAACATGTCAGTCTAATGCCAGTAAACTATTTTCCAAATGAGTCTCCCTATCTGTGCATAGTGTGTCCTGTGAGCGATTAGCCACTATCACTGCTGTCAGTTAGAGTACTATCAGAGAGACATGCTGCTTAACCCACCGACTGACTCTTTCCTCTAACAGATTGACCTTTCTTGTCTCAAATGACATCTGAAATTTCCATAACGAGAGTACAAACTAACCATAGGCAAAGTAACACAATGAATGCCTCTGTTATCTCATTATTCATAAAAAAAAACAATTGATTGATTCAAACCAGAGATTTGAGCGTATAATCTTGGCTGACTCGTGTAATATTGCGGGAGTTGTTGGTAGTGTTGTCATTCTGATGACACATTAAACTGGAACAGTGATGACACTTTGTGTGGATGTGCTGAGGTTGTTAAAAGACAGCAGCTCCCAAACCTATGACCTCTACCATCTGGAAGGACAAGGGCAGAGGGTGCTTGGAAACACCACCCCTCCAGGCCACTCATTACCCTGAACTGGAACTATATTGCTGTTTCTTTACTGTTGTTGTGTCAAAAATTGGAACTGCTCCCTAACAGCACTTACAGTGTTGGTTCAAGATGATAATTAGGAACAGACACTAAATGCTGGCCTTACTAGCAACCTCCTTATTCCATGAATGAAGTGAAAAGGCACTATACAAATGCAAGTTCTACTTTTAAGCAGAAGGGAAGGCTATTACAGAGGGAGATGATGGCCAAGTGGTATTATCACTGGACTATTAATCTAGAGATCCAGTTAATGTTCTGGTGCACCTGGGTTCAAATCCCACCGTGGCAGATGGTGAAATTGGAATTCAAGAAAAAAAAATTTGGAATTAAGAGTCCAATGATGACCATGCTGATTGTTAGGGGAAAAACCCCATCTGGTTCCCTAATGTCCTTTAGGGAAGGAATCTGTTGTACTTACCTGGTCTGGCCTACATGTGACTCCAGATCCACAGCAATGTGATTGACTCAGTTGTCCCATGGGCAATAAGTGTTGACCTAACCACTGATACCCTCATCCCATGAATGAATAAAAGGGGGAGAAAAAAGACAATATGAATGTAAAGGTATGAGGGGGAAGCAAATGTCAAGGATTCATTTCTCTTTTCATTTTCAATAGGTTGGAATCTATACATATCTGCAGCTAAATTGAAGGATGATGCAGCATTCCCACATTACTGTCCTAAATTGCCAGCCTTGTTTATGTGCTCCCAGAATGGGACCTGAATTCAGTAGACTTGAACCTTCAGTCTTCTGACTCAGTACCACCACTTGTGGCTTGAAGCCAGCAATCCTTTCAATTTCATAAGCTGAACTCAGGAATAATGATATTTATTTTAATTTAACATGAAAGCATATTGGACATAAGCCCTGGTTAACCCTTCCAAAATGGTCGAACGCACGTAAATTATCTGTGGCTTTTCCAGATGGCCTGTTTTTCTAACAATACCAATTGTGTTTAATCTAATGTGAAATGTATACTTTTTAGACTGAAGAACCACGATAGAACATAGGAACAGGAGTAGGCCGTTCAGCCCCTCAAGCCTGTTCTGCCATTCAGTGAGATCATGGCTGATCTGTGGCCTAACTCTATATACTTTCCTTTGGCCCATATCCCTTAGTGGGACTAAGTGAATCACCCTTTGAAAGAATGAATTATAAGTCTCTCCCGGATAGCAAGATCCTGTGTACCCATCACACAATTGACAATGCAAAGAAGGTTCAGCCCTTTGTGTCCACACTAGCTCTCCAAATAAATAATTCATCAATTTTCATTCTCCTATCTTCTCCCTGGAACCATGCACATTATTCCTGTCCAGATAGCCACCTAATTCCCTTTTGAATGCCTTGATTAAACCTGCTTTACCACATATCCCCAGGGTAGGGGATCCCAGAACTAGAGGGCATAGGTTTAAGGTGAGAGAGAAAAGATTTAATAGGGACCTAAAGGGCGACTTTTTCACACAGAGGGTGGTGCATGTATGGAATGAGCTGCCAGAGGAAATTGTGGAGGCAGGTACAATTACAACATTTAAAAGGCATCTGGATGGGTATATGAATAGGAAAGGTTTAGAGGGATATGGGTCAAATGCTGCCAAGTGGGACTAGATTAATTTAAGATATCTGGTCAACATGGACACGTTGGACTAAAGGGTCTGTTTCCATGCTGAACATCTCTAGACTCTATGGTCAGGCAGTGCAGCGTAGATCCTAGTCACTCATTATGTGAAGTGTGGGGCGATACATTTTAGTAGGGACAGACAATATAACATCAGGGGCACAATTCTAAAAATGGTACAGGAGCAGCAAAGGGGCCTGGATGGGTCTGTGCACAAATCACTGGCAGGGCAGGTGGAAAGAGCAGCAAAGCATATGCTGTCCTAGGCTTTACTTATAGGACGCAGAGGAAAAAAACCAGAGAGATGATACTGAATTTACAGAAGTCACTTGTTAGACCTGAGGTAGTACGTTAGAAATAAGAGCAGGAGGAGGCCGTAAGATCCTTCAAAGTTGACCAAGCATTCTGTAAGATCATGGCTGATCTGCCCCAGGTCCTGTTTGGTACCAGCTCACAACAGCCCTCAAGTCTAAAAGTCATTGTATCTCCTGTTTAAATACCCTCAGTGATGCAGTCTCCACATTTCTCTGGGGTCACACAGATCCAGACATTGACCCCTTTCCCTGGGGGAGGTGGGCTACACTGCGCCTGCGCCACCGCCACCGCGACATCCGGGTCCCAGGCGAGGGGCCATTGCGTCATTACGTTGAGGGCGTGAGGCCGTGACCGAGGACGTGGCAGCGCCGGAGACTCTGAGATACCGGGAGCGGCTCCGAGATTGAGAGACACACCGACACCGAGGGCCGGGGCTGCAGGCGGTGAGTCAGTCATTGGCCGGCCGACCCACCCACCCACCCACCCAGGGGGCGCCGGGCCTGTGAGGAGGGGACCCGGCTCATCACAGCTCCGGGCCCCGGCCTTTCCTTCTCCCTCTCATCCTGGGCCCTGGCGGAAAGGCCGAGCTGTCGGTTCCGGCGCCGCCTCCGCCGCCCCTTCACTCGCAGGCAGCGGTGCGTCTGTTCCTGTGACCCTGTTCCCTTTCCTCAAACACCGTAATCCCTTAAAGACCCAATAACTCCTTAACAACCCTGTTCACCCCAATAACCCCTTTTAAAATCCCAATACTTAGCCAAAATAACCCCGATACACTGCATTAACCAACAGAAACCGCAGTTGCCCCCAAGAACCCCTTTAAAAACCCAATACCCACAAAACACTCCAAGAAAACACCAATCATCCCTAAAGCAATGCTGTAGTTCCTGAAAAAAACAATTACCCCAATCCCAATAGCTTTTCCAAAGATCCCTGTAACCCCACGTACTCCTCAGACTTCAATTGTGCTCTCAAACATGCCTGTAATGCCACAGAACATAACTGACCCCAAATACCAGTAACAGATGGGCCAATGGGCTGAGGTGTGGCAGTTGGAGTTTAGTTTAGATAAATGTGAGGTGCTACGTTTTGGAAAGGCAGATCAGGGCACGACTTAGGTGCTTTATGGAAGGTCCTGGGGTGTGTTGCTGAACAAAGAAACCTTGAAGTGTAGGTTCATTGTTCCTTGAAAGTGGAGTTGCAGTTAGATAGGATATTGAAGAAGGTGCTGAGTGTGCTTGTCTTTATTAGTCAGTGCATTGAGTATAAAAGTGAGAGGTCATGTTGTGGCTGTACAGGACATTGGTTTGGCCATTTTGGAGTATTGCATGTAAATCTGGTCTCCATCCTGTAGGGAGGATGTTATGAAATTAGCAAAGGTTCAGAAAAAATTTACAAAGATGTTGCCAGGGTTGGAGGGTTTGAACTATAGGGAGGGGCTGTATCGGCTGGGGCTATTCTCCTTGGAGCATCAGAGGCTGAGGTGTGACCTGATAGAAGTTTATAAAATCTTGAGGAGCATGGATAGGGTAAATAGGCAAGGTTCCTTCCGAGGATTGTGAGAAGGGTTCTGACCCAAAACATCAACTTTCCTATTCCTCTGATGCTGCCTCTGATCTACAATCCTTCACTCCTCCCATATCCCCAAACTCAATGAATGAAATTTTGTACCCACAACAACCAACCCTCTAATCCTCATGACTACATTACCCCTCAGATATCTTCCCCTCAAATGCCCTTTGCACCCTCAAATACTCAGTCTAAACCCTTGACCATTGAATGTGCAGTTTCCTTGATATTCATGTTTCAACCAAAAGGCGGTGTGTGGAGATCGATCTGTCTAGGTTTGAGCCAGAAGGTTTATGTTCAAATTCCATTCTAGTGATTGGAACACAGATTTCCATTTATATAGCTTGTGTCATTCTCCCAGGTTGTCTCAAGTGAAAACTTTTCAAATGCTTTAAAATATAGGAAATGCTGTCTTAGTAATGCTATTTGAAAGATGAATTTGACTGGGATTCTAGTGAGAAACTCTGCTCTTAAGTTTCATGGAACATTTTAAGTCCACCTGAAAGAATACTTGGGTCCTGTCTTAGCAATTCACCAGAAAGATAGCACCATCAACAGTGCAGCACTTCCGAAGCACTGGTGGAATGTCAGCCTGCATTTCGTGCTCAAGTGACTGGAGTGGGACTGAACCCACAACCTTCTGACTCTGGTGAGAGAGCTACCCACTGACCCACACCCACAGTTCTTATTACACTTTATTTCTGAAAAGAAAGGTGCTTTCTTTTGTTCCTGATTGGTTTTCTGTAAAACTGCACCAAGATTTTCACTCACTTGAATGGATAGTCGATGATCAGCTCTAACAAAACACTAGTGACAGCTTGATGCACTAATATTCTCTTTACCATATTGAGAGTTTAGGCTTGTCACATAGTTTGACTGGTGAATTAGTGAATTCTTCTGGCAGGCTGGTTCATTGAATTGTATTGCAGCCAAGTTTTGCCAGTTGCACAGTCTCCATGTATTTAGGCCAGGTGTGACTTTCCAGCTAAACTGGACGTGCTCGGGGTATTGATAGCATAGTCTATATAAATCTATGGCTGTTTGATCATTGTCCATTACTCTCATCCGTCAGTTTGTGAGGATTTTCTGAATGTTTAAATTCCAGCACAATACCTGTCGTTTCAAGTCACTGGGTAGGGAACGCATAGGGAATCTTCCACTAAGTGAAAGTTGTTATCCATCTTACCACAACGTAAATCATAGTTAGGAACTTTCTTAATGGTTAATATTTCTGACAGTAACTGAGGTTTTGAAGTGATTTGTTGCCTGATCTGAGGTTGTGAATGAGAACAATGAATTTAATCTCTTGTCGTTCCCCCCCCCCACCACCGCCTTTGACTTGCACATGATTCCCTTTCAAATATTTATCCAAATCCCTAATGAAAGTTTGTACTGAATCTGCTTCCACTGCCCTTTGAGGCAGCGAATTCTTGAATATCATACTTTGTTGCATTAAAACAGCTGTCTTCCTTCACCCAGAGATAGCAAGAGCTGCAGATACTGGAGTCCGAGACAACACAGTATGGAGCTGGAGGATCACAGTAGGCCAGGCATCAACTGAAGAGGGGTCCTGACCCGAAATGTCAGCTTTCCTCCTCTGCTGCCTGGCCTGCTGTATTCCTCCAGCTCCATACTGTGTTGTCTTTCTTCACTGGTGCCTATGAGCAATAAGCTAACCTTGAAACCTCACATTCAGATCGCCTGGGTGATGAACCAATGATAGACCTATGCTGGCTCTTCCCAGGAAGACCCACCAAACCACATGCCAATCAGGCAGTGGTGAGGCAAGTAGTGAGCCTTCTGGTGGAATAGAGACCCCAGAAGCAGATGTCTCACCAACTGACAGCAGCCAGTCAATCAGAGGTCAGCAATGCTATAGGAAGGATGTAGCTAGTACAGGAAAAGTGTCCACTGGAGTCCCAGGATCGTGCAACAACCCAGGCGACAGGTAAATAATCAAAGGAACACCACCTAAGGTGACTAAGCTTAATTTAGAGATGTGGCGACTGTGTGTATCACATGGCATATCCGTGTCTGCCAGTCACTTAATCCTGGTGAGAACGGATGGGGTCTTAAGTGGTTGTTGATCCAACTTAAATGCCTCAGTTGGCAATGGGACAGGAAGGTCAGCCCCGGGCGTTTCCACCCAGAATATGATTCCGGTGGTGACGAAGATGGCAAGAGCAAAAACAGAAGTTGCTGGAAAAGCTCAGCAGGTCTGGCAGCATCTGTGAAGAAAAATCAGAGTTAATGTTTTGGGTCTTTTGGTTTTTACAAAGATGGACAGGTTCAGTTATGACACCACCAGCCTAACTAAATGCCATTCCACCTCCAAGCTCACCTACAGAGAGAGCCAACTGTTGCATGCATTGTCTCTTTCTGACTTACCTGGGTATATCTTTGGTAATAGCCAGTCAAATTCTACAACAGTCTCCGCACAAGTATGCTCCACTCGGCTTCCCTCCAATTTCTTCCACATTTTTTCACCTATTGAAGTGCCGCCACATTGTTTTTGTGACCGCCATTTGATCTTGGTACTGTAGCATTGTGATTTTCTTTTTTAAAATATCTAACTTCTCATCTTTTGCGGGACACATTGCGCCCCAACTATCCGATCTCTACCACTCTACATCTTGCTGATTCTTTGTTCTTTTCGGACCATTGGCAGCAGTGCCTCCAATTGTCACTTCCTGCTGTCTGCAATTCTCTCCTGAAATCCTGCCACATTTCTGTATACATAGAACATAGAACATTACAGTGCAGTACAGGCCCTTCGACCCTCGATGTTGCGCCGACCTGTGAAACCAATCTGAAGCCCATCTAACCTAATCTATTCCATTATCATCCATATGTTTATCCAACACCTTCAAAGCCTTTCCAGAAGTCACCGATTTAGCCACCTTTTCCTAAAACTCCTTCCAAGTTTACATTCCCCTCAAGTGAAGTGCAAATTGTTAATGTTTTATGATTTTAACCCAAAGTTTGTTTTGGAATACCAACAATAGTAAAATTGTCTGTGGCTTTGCTGCCTTAACACCCCCTTTCAGCCAGAATTTGAATCACTTTGTCATCTTTGTACTGTTTTCACTAGCCAATTGTAATTAATTTGAATCAATGTATCAAAGAAGGCTTTATTTAAAAATTGCTTACTTTTAACTTGTGTAAGATTTAAGGCATTCATTGTGAAAGGAATCACTACTTTCTGCCACTTTCTGATCATATAGAAGAGCCCATGCACTCTGCTTATTGAAGTGATCGTCAGGAATGTATATCAGTAGAGCGTGAAAGGATGTAAGACATGAGCCTGAGTCTCACTGAATTCACTGGCCGAAGGTCAAATTTTAATATTCTATCACGGGATGTGGGGATTGCTTGCTGGTCCAGTATTTATTGCCCATCTGTAATCACCATTGAAAGTAGCGGTGAACTACTACCTTAAACTGTTGTAGTCCAGATTGAGGTGATTTTAAGTCATTTTATTGAGATAACAATTAATCAGTGTGCTAAATTAGTAATTGCACGATAGAGAGGTTATTAAAAGAAGCTGAACTTTATATCCGTGGTCTTGCTGTGGTTTTGTTTCTGATTGGTATCTTTGGCAACAGTATGATACAAAGCAGTCTTATCACACAATACCAGTCATACTTAAGTATTTTCTCCATGTTGTACCCTCCAGCTTGTTCCCTCTAATACTCTCATTGTCTTCGTTTTTACTTTTCATTGAGCTGTCATTACTTTCTCTTCGCAATGCATTGCTGTGTGCTGGTGTGGTTTTGGCATTTATTATTTTATTATTTATTTTATTATTTTTGCCACACGCACTATTTCCCCTGTTATCAGGGCATAGAATTCAATCATAGAGACACATTAAATAAAC